GTTATCATCAGCATTTTCTTCGAACAATTCCTGTTGTACACCTATTTTTTATTTATTCTTTTTATTTTATTTTTATTATTTTTAAAAGATTCTGTCTTCATCGCCTTGGTAATGTGCGGGAAGCAACTCAGAGCAAAAAAATGCCTTATCGTACAGGGAATTTTTATTTATTTATTTATTATTATTATTTTTTTTATCTTATTTTTTTTTATTATTTTTTAAAGATTCTGTCTTCATCGCCGTGGTAATGTGGAGGAAGCAACTCAGAGCAAAAAAATGTCTTAACGTACAGGGATTTTTTTGTTTGTTTGTTTTTATATCCTTAGTCCCAAACTCGCGATGCAGGTAAAGTTTCTCTCTCTTTCTCTTTCATTCTTTCTTTTTTTTCTCTCTTTCTGTCATTCTCATTATCTTTCATTCTCGTTCTCTTTCTTTTTTCTCTTTCATTCTCATTCTCTTTCTCTTTTCTCTTTCATTCTGAGATAGATAGTGAGATAGGTGAAGATAAAGAAATATAAAGAGAAAAAAAGAGAGGGGAAACAAGAAAAATAAAAAAAATGAGAGGAAAAAAGAAAAGAAAGAAAAAGAAAAAGAAAAAGCAAAAGAAAGAGAAAGAGAGAGAGAAAGATAGAGAAGAGAAAGAGAAAGAGAAAGAAAGAGAAGAAGAACGAGAAAGATACGAGAGTCCGTTTCCCCCCAGGTATCCCACCGTCGTTACCCCCCCCTCCCCCTCCCCCCCTCTCTCACCTCCCCCCCCCCCCCCAAACACAACAGAAACGACCCTGTAGTAATTCCCAGCATAACACCTTCGCCGTGGGACCTTAACAACACTTGCTATTATTTTATTCTTTTATAATTTTTCCTTCTTCTTTTCCTTTTTTTCGGAGGAGGGGGGGGGGGGTTAGGCTACAGGAGGGGGTGGGGGGTGGGGGGCTATCATTACAACTCCTAACTAGTGAGAAAGTAACGAGTATTTAATGAAGAGTGACTTGAATGCGTTTTTCCCCCATCCAACGACCTTAAATTGAAGTGTTGTTGAAGTACATAATGAATAATGAAGTAAGGTCACGCGAAAGAGGGGGGGGGGAGAGAAGAGAGGGGAAAAGAGGGGAAGGAATAGGAGGGTATTTTCGTTATCAGTTCGAAGCGCATGAGTAAGGAGGTAAGGCCATGCGAAAGAGGGGAAGAAAGGAGGAAGAGGGGAAAAGTGGAGAAAGGGGGGAAGAGGAGAGGAAGAGGGGGAAAGTGGAGAAATAGGGGAAGAGGAGAAAGAGGGGAAGAGAGGAGAAAGAGGGGAAAAGTGGAGAAAGGGGGGAAGAGAGGAGAAAGAGGGGGAGAGAGGAGAATGAGGGGAAAAGTAGAAAGAGGGGAAGAGAGGAAAAGTGGAGAAAGGGGGGAGAGGAGAATGAGGGGAAGAGAGGAGAAAGGGCGGAAGAGTAGAAAGAGGGGAAGAGAGGAGAATGAGGGGAAAAGAGTTTAAATGGGGAAAAGAGGAGAAAAGGGGAAAGAGAGAAGACGAGAAGAGAGGAGAAAGGGAGAAAGGGGGAAGAGGAGAAGTAATGGAAGAGAGGAGAAAGAAGGGAAAAGAGTTTAAATGGGGAAAAGAGGAGAAAGGGGGGAAAAGAGAAGAACAAGGAGAAGAAAGGAGAAAGGAAGGAAGAGTAGAAAGAGGGGAAGAGAGGAGAAAGAGGGGAAAGAGAGAAGGAAAAACAAGAGGCTACTTATATAATCAACTTGAAGTGCTGAGCTTAAGTACACGCGTATAGAAGTAAGGTCACGAGAGAGAGAGAGAAGAAAGAGGGGGAAAATAGGGGGAAAGAAGGGGAGAGAATAAGAGTGAATTTACGTAAACCTTGGCAGACCTGACATCATCTTCCCTCAAAGAATAAACACCAAGAATTTGTCTCAGCAGAAAGGGCATTTTGAACGAGAGAATGTCCTTGTGTGAAAACAATGACTGAACAAACAAAAGCATAAGAACATTCATGACTACACATTGTCAAAACTCCCGGACATATATACAGACACATTTGTTTCAGGTGTATAGTCATGGCATACGTAAATGGGGCATACGTTCAGATAATACAAACGTAATTCTCAATCATATGTTTTATAGCTTTACAGACAGAACT